CCTCATGTTCGCTTCCAGCTGCCTGGCTGCCGGCCGCCATCTTGGCTGACAGTTAATTTGCATAAGGATATGCTGATTAGCCAATGGGAAGGGTAGCTCGGACGCCAATTACCATGTTTCTCTTTTATTAGTGTAGATTATCCCATTAAAACAATCATGGAGAAGTTAGTTTCCTTTTAGGTACTTTTTAAAAAATTTACATATATATGTTTCCATAGAAAAGTGTAATACTGTCTTTAAGCTGTATATGCTTTTAGTATCATAATACAGAATTGTATGTATTTCTCTTTCACTTGCTTTTTCAAAGAAAACCAAACAATATGTATTAGAGATATATATTATTAGTGCAAACAAATCTACATCACACTCTTTATAAGTCATGGTACTATTTTCAGTGAGAATAGAAGTTGGTCCTCCCTAGCTCATCTTCTGCACTTACTGTGGATGCTTTTCATTTTTTCCAGGCCTTTCCAGCCACCCTGCGATGTTGTGCTATTTCTCTCTGCCCCAAATACTATTGGCTGGAGACACACAGACTTCATCTTCACTTCTAATAGTTTCCCAGAGCCCTTCCTGCTTCTAGTCTCCACCACTTTGGCATGGACCATTCTCTGTGTGGTTCTTATCTACTATGTACTTGGATACAGTATGCTGCTGTTTCCCTCATTAATCTTTCAGACTTTCCTCTCAATTTCTGGTTCATTGAAATCTCCCCATCTGTATTTTCTAGTTTAGCTATTAATTAAAAAAAAATGTTAAATATCTTGTATAGGTTTTGTGGCTTAACAGGGAGAATAGACTGGAATACGAACTTACGTTGCCAGTTTGAAACCAAGAATTAAATCCCTCTCTGCCTGAAATGTCCCTGTTATCATCTTACGAGGATCTGTGATAAAATAACTTCTGTAGGTTTGGCCGACACTTTAATAGATGAACTCAGTGAACTGGAGGGCTTTTTTTTTTTTTTAAATTCATAGGCAGTTATTTCCTGAAAATACTTTTTTTTTCTTTTTTGTCTTTGTGGGTTTGTTTTTGGAAATGGGAATGAGGAGAGGAAGGCACTGTCTATTCCTTCCTAGCTAAAATTGAACTTATATTTTTGTGTTTTATTCAAATACGAATTTGTGAAATGAATTCTGAACTGGTAATAGCTAATACCATGCATTTTGATATAACAGGACTCAGCTGATGATCAAAATACCTGTCGTGTGTGGCACATGAATATAGAAGCCCTTCCAGAATGGATAGACCGCCTACTACAAAAAGTAAGTTCCTAGAGTCAGTGAAATTAGGGATGTACTGCCTTCAGATGTCCTTATTTTAGAGCTATTTTTCTTAGATGCATTATTTCAACAGACATGGAAAGCTATGTAATTATTTTTTTAAAATTATTTTTCAAAGGAGACTTGACTTGGGGTGGTGAACACATAGTACAATATACAGAAGCTGTGTAACTCTACACTTATGACTTCTTTATTATTACTGGAGTGCTTCAGCACTTGTCTACTTCAACTTTGCATTTGGTACTTCCCCTGGCTTGAAAGCTCTTCCCACAGATACTCACCTGTTCCCTCCTTTCCTCTCAAGGAGGCATCACCTGACCTCTCTATCAACTATCCTCACTGTTACCACTATTCACACTCCTTTCTTCCGTCTCTGCTCTACCTACCTATCTATAAGTTACACAGACACAAACTATAAGTAATACTTTAAATATGCATAAGTACATCTTACAAATATAATTGCATGAATTATTATACACAGTTTAAATTTAATGTATATAATGCATATATATGCACTCTTGTCAATTGCCCAGCTCTCCTACTAGGATGTAGACTCCATGAAGTCAAGGCTCTTTATATTTTGTTTATTACTGTATCCCCAGCACATAGAACAGTGTCTATTGAGTGAATGAAGTATCCTGTATATAGTATTCATGTATGCATAATAAAATAAACTGGATAATTAATGACTTAACACAGTAAAAATCAAAATACCACACTTTTAAGGATCTTTAATGAAATATAAGAGTAAGAACTCACCTTGTTAATAGTATAGTATCATTATTTCTCACAATTCAAGACACAAGTCTTAGAAAACTATAAGTAATATGAGTTTTAGAAAAATATAGTTGTCTTTCTCCACTGACTACCTTAACGTTTTTGCTGCTGTTGTTAAACGATAACATTTGGTAGCTAGCTGTTCCTTGAATCCATTCTCACATTGTAATGATTCATTGGGGAAATGCCAGTGTGGTGCTTGTACGTGTCCTGAACTTCACAAACTGTATTAGGACACAGCAGATGTTTCACTGCTTCTGTTGAAAAGAAGATTTTAAGCCAGCCCATCGTTAATTTCAAATCTGAGTATAGAAAACGCTCCCTCGGAGTGTGCAGCCAATATCTTTTGGTTGTGTGTAAACGGCAGGAAGAGCTTCATTCTGATGGTTGGGGGAAATTCCCTCCCACAGTGCTTGGTATGCAAGAAGTGTATCAAAACAGACACTTTTCTGTGAGATTTTACTTGCAAATTAAGCTCTGTAGACTGATGTGCTTCTTGGTTCTGTAGTGCATTTTTCTTTTCATTAGCTCACACTGTATCCATATTCAATGTATTGTTTAAGAGATTCATTTAGAATTCTTAGGAGTATTGTTTCAATGGGCACGAAGTGCAATATGTTATCATTCTAGAACTTTGGAGCTGCTCATCTCCATTAGAAAGCTTGTTTCCATTGACTATTCTGTCTACTAATCAGAAAACAGAAAGCCAGCCTTTTCTGTGGCATAGAAAACTTTCATGTGGTTGGCTTTAAAAACACATGCACACACACACATTCTTTTTTATTACTTTACAATGAATGCATTGTCTTTATCTGCCTTTATTACCTGCAGGCCCGGTGGACAGTGGGAAAACTGAATTGCCCTTTTTGTGGGGCCCGTTTAGGGGGCTTTAATTTTGTCAGCACTCCAAAATGTCCCTGTGGCCAGCGTGCAGCTGTACACCTCTCCAAGAGCCGGACCGATTACCAGCCAGCACAGGCAGGCCGACTAATGAGACCATCGCCGAAATACTTGTCACATCCTAGAGTTCGGTCAGGTGGTGACAGCGAAGCTCTGCTGACGGGCGGTGCCTTCAAAAACAGAAATCGCAGGCTTTTAAACATGGCCCAAAAGAATTATGGCTCTGGGAGATTAACAGAAGCACTGTGCCTGGAGGTGCGGTCGACGTGTGTTCAGATGAAGAAGGAAAAACTGCTCTTCAAAGCATCCGATTCAAAATACCAGCTTTTTGTCCCGCAGCTTGTGACTGGCAGATGCACCAGAAGAGCTTCCCACAGAAAATCACAGAGCTTGGATCTGAGCATCAGTGAGAAGCTGACTTTATTACCCACATTTTATGAAATACATAGTAAGACTACCGCCTGTGCCAGACTAAATGAAACCCAGCCTGAGGACCTTTTGGACCTGCCTTTGGAATCTAGTAAAAATAGCTGTTCCTTTCACATAGCATCAAGTTTTGATCCTAATGTGCTGCTGCCGAGGTTTTCAGTGGCTCCCCGAGAGACCCAGACACAAAGAGGAGGAGAATTTCAGAGTGGTCTGGGAGATTCTGCAGTGTGCCCTGACCATGCCAGTTCTAACGGCCTGGCATTCCTGATGGACCTGCCCTCCGCGGGCAGGCGCACGCTGGAGGCCTCGGACCAGGAGGAGCACCTCTCGCCCCTGGACTTTCTGCGCTCGGGCAGTTTTCCATTGGGTGCCATTCATCAGAGGCTCAGCAAGAGAGAAAGGAGCAAGTTGAAGAATCTGAGGAGGAAGCAACGAAGGCATGAAAGATGGTTGCAGAAGCAGGTAATTTTTTTAAAGAATTTACTAAAAGTTAAGTTCTACATTATAAATGTTGACGCTTGGGGAGGAGCTAACTTTGAATACCTTATATAAAAATTGGTTTTGATCATTTTTGAAATGACATTTCTCTCTGGGTGAACTTAATTAATTGTGCAGCTGTCTTGTAATTGACATGTTTATCTCTATGCTCACACATGTTTAGAAAATATTCTTTTGTGAAGTTTTTCCCAGTACTGTTAATATTTTAGAGGAACAGTAATCTCCATGATATTGAGACTAGATTGTCATATACATTTTAAATTCAAGTTAGGATTTTATTTCAAGTTAAGTTGAAGCAAAATAGTTGCTCTAAGAAAATCTAATCTAGTGACATTCATTCCCTTTCATCACATTTAGCTTTAATGGGTATTTTCCAGGACCTTATTTAAGTGCCCACATGATCCAGGTATGGTTAACTGTGATGCTGTGAATGTAATCTAAAGCAGGGTGAGGAAGGTCCGGCCCACGGGCCCTATAAGGCCCGCAAAATCACAAGCATTAAGGGTGAGTTAATTAAATGTTTGACCAAATATAGCAGGCTAATTTTTAAGTTGAGAATTTTGTATGGCCTGTGAAAGATGTTACAAATGTTCACATGGCCCTTGGCAGAAAAAAGGTTCCCCACCCCTTATCTAAAGGACAATTGACCATTACTGTAGTTTTATGTGAGAGCATGCTTCTCTTTGATTTCGGCTTCTGTACCCAGAGTGGTATGTTCAAGGGTGGGGTGTATGAAGGGACTAAGCAATAAATGTTAGGTGCTGAGGAGAGCAATTAAAGTCAATGGATGAAAATTTGGAAGTTTGAGGACTAGTATATTTCTACATCAACTTTATTTTTGCAAATTGCCTTTATTATTTTCATGTTCATAATAGACTAGAGGTTTGGTGCATGGGTAGGATCCCTCGGCCTGGCCGGTGATCGAGGCTGGCCTGCGGGGGGAGAGGGACCACGGGAGGTTGGCTGGCCGAGGGAGGCTGGTTGTGGGAGTGCACTGACCACCGAGGGCAGCTCCTACATTGAGCGTCTGCCCCCTGGTGGTCAGTGCGTGTCACAGCTACCGGCCAGTCATCTGGTCATAATGGTCACTTAGGCTTTTATATATATAGACTAGAGGCCCGGTGCACAAAAATTTGTGCA